AGAGAGAGAGAGAGAGAGAGAGAGAGAGAGAGAGAGAGAGAGAGAGAGAGAGAGAGAGAGAGAGAGAGAGAGAGAGTTCTTCTTCTTCCTCTTCCTAAGTCCACCATCTCTTCTTCACCCTCTCACTACCTGACTTCTTAGTATCTGTGGACTACGAGAGAGAGAGAGAGAGTTGTGACTTGAGACTTGACGACATTGGACCCAGACGCGACATTGGGATTCAGACATTTGACGGGAATTATTTGGGACCTGTATCGCAGACTTGGTTGTTGACGACATTCCCATCTTCCCCTCTTCTTCGTCTAACCCCCTCTTCTTCGTCTAACCCCCTCTTCTTCGTCTGTGTATGGCGGGGACTGGCGCATTCTTCCTGTGTGAGCGCCAGGCCCCTTCCCACCATGGAATGATGATGATGTGTGTTTGAGGCTGCATTGCAACGTTGATTGTTCGGATCATTGGTATCCAAGTCTTCCGCTACGCTATCTTGTACTTTGTGAGAGAGGTCGGTTCTTGTTCTGGTCTGCACCTTTACGGTATGCAACAGCCCCTGTCCCAGGGAATCTTCCACAGGGCCTGGGGAGGTTACCCGTTTCCAACTACCTAGTCGGCCAATGTTCAGTTCATGCCCTGTGTCTGGTCCAGGGCGTGCCTCCGATTCATCTGATAAGGGCCTGGAGGCCCGAGAGGTTGGCAGGCAGGACCTGGGCGCATTCAACCAATTGATGTGGCGTAACTGCCTGAATTTCCCCAGCTGCGTCAAAACACAAAATAGGCCTCTCGTCACATGTCAGGCCCACCTTCACTTAGGGCGGCCGTTCTTGCTGAAACAGGGCCCAATAGGGCTTACCGAGGCCTTTAGCCTCACAAAACACAGCAATTTCCAAATTTGTAAAGTATAATCCAAGAATTACTACTACGAAGAGAGATTTACCGAAAAAGAAATAGAAGTTCGAAATATTAAAGTAACAGAAAATTTGAAATTTGAAAGAACAAATAAATCAAAAATTTCAGCTACTTATTAATGCGTGTAAAAGGGCCTTTACCCGATATAGGCCTCAGGCCTTGTAAAAGTAAAGCAGGACGGGCCTTGAAAAAGTAAAGCATTGTGAGAAGGTATCTCGCCAGGGCTCAGAAACGTGAAAGCAGGTCAAAGGTCAAGTTCTCTATCAACAGGCACATCTAAATCTAAGGCAAAGGG